TTTATGCATGTGTAAAAACCAGTGAGCCTTATTAAATATTCTTCTCTGTGAGGGAATGTGACAGACGGAACAGCTTTGCGTTTGTGTAACAGTGGCATACGGCCAACAAACAATTGAATAATTAGCTATATGCCAAATTATATATTTTTTGTTAGATTATTATATAAAAAAAATTATCAAAGGACTGTAACCCATTATATAGAGTGGCTAAATTTAATGTTTTGACAAATGTATTGACAAATTTGAGAAACTGAAGTCATTGGTTTTGAAGTCCAACATGAAATTAAAATGGATAATGTCAAGTTAGCAAATTTTAAAGAATATTCCATGTCCAAGTTAAGCTTAATTGAAAGTATTGTGCCATATTTGTTGGAAGAAAAAAAAAAGAGATTTGTCCTTCATTTTATTAAATTTTTTTAAGTTGGAATAAATTGAAAATTAACCTAAATAATTTTTTAGAGGCATGTATATAGATCTGGGGTGCGTTTCCCGAAACCTTCTTAACGCTACATTGTTCTTAAGTTATACCTTAAGCTGTACCTTATCGTTAATACGTATTTCCCGAAACATTCGTACACCGTGTCTACACCGTATGTGACAGTTATTGCGCCGCAACAGCTTGTGTCTGTCTACACTGGACGTGATAAAGTGACCATTGCAAATCATTTGAATTCTGTGTCAGTATGTCATAAATAGAACGAGGCATCAGTTTACTGTCAGGGATTTGTGGTGTCGTTTCGTGCCGCACCGCATCCAGTGTAGACAGCATCACTGATTATAATGGGTTCTATCATTTTGTCGCGCCTGCCGCGTGCGGTGTAGACACAGTGTTAGTTAAGTATATCTTCTGTAAGTCATACGTTCGTAAGGTTGGTCTGGACCAGTCTTAGCTGTACACTGTAAAAAAAATGACCTGTTTCAACTTAACTTAAGTTCAGTTGCTGCCTTAAAATTTTAAGTTAAATCAACTTAAAGAATTGCTCTCTTTAAGTTAATTTGACTTTACAGTATGTTTCAGCTTATTAAATTGTTCAAAAAAGTTTTAACATAAATTTTCTAGTTATGATAATGTAAACTTTATTGTAGAGATACAGATAAATAATATACTACAACATTAGTTTGAAGCAACATTTAAATTGTATTTTTTTTTCTTGCAGTGTTTATAAACTGATTTTTAATTTTAAAACAGTACACAACCTGCCTTTGCATGCTAATGTGTGAATGCCGGTATATGAATACAACAAGGGCACAAAAGTAGCAAAAAACTGCCAAGAAACTGTTATATAAAGCTGAAAATATACTCGTAGCTCATGGGAAACAACCACTGAGGCAAGCTTGAAAAAATAAATAAATGTCAATTACAGTCCTTTTTTTTCTTGAAAATTTTAAAAGAAGTCCTGCAGTGTATCTTCATAGTCTATTAGGAGGCCAGCTTGCATGCCCTTTTTGAGTGTATGAAGTGTTTCACCATGAGCCTTTAAAATCAGAAAATAACAGTACAAATTACAAACAGTTGGTTAATCTATATACACTGATAAAATTCAGTATACACAAATACTTCATAAAAGTGTTCAATATTTTGAATATCAAAAAAGTGGTGGTATAATGCAGGGGTGTCCAATTGTGCTCCTGCAGAGTTTAGCTCCATCCTCAATTAAACACATCTGAATCAGTTACCTAAGGTCTTACTAGGCATACCAGAAACTTCCAGGTAGGTGAGTTGAGGCAAGCTGTAGCTAAATTCTGCAGGAGAGTGGCCCTCGCCACGTTAATAAATAGTAGCAAACATGGAGGCGGCCGGGTAGATTGTTGGTGACCAGTTAAATCGGAGATGTGGCGGCGGTTTAGCTTTCCAACAATTACAAATGAAAACGGTGAGGTGGCAACCGACAAAACAAAAACTTTGCATAAATACACACACAATTTTATTAAAGTGGTCATATGATGTTGCTAAAAAGAACATTATTTGGTGTAATGAAATGTTTATGCGGTTTAAGCTTCAAAAAACACATTATTTTCCACATACTGTACATTATTGTTTCTCCTCTATGCTCCACCTTTCTGAAACGCGTCGATTTTTACAAAGCTCATCGGTCTGAAAAGCGAGGTGTGCTCTGATTGGCCAGCTATCCAGTGCGTTGTTATTGGCCAAATACTTCAAGCGCGTGACGGAAATGTCACGACCCTTACCATGCTGTGATGCCCTGTCCGGCCGGAGCGACGATTCAAAAACATTAAAACCCATTATAAACGAGGCATTTGTTGTATCCAGTGGGGACATAATTACGAATTATAATGACTTATACTGTCTTTTTACGCATTGTGTTGCATCGCGCCGCATAAACATAAAACCATGTCTGCATTTGTGATCGGAGAAATGACAAACAACAAGCCCTACTCTACACTGCCCAAAAAACTCAAAAAAGAACAGCCGGCATTGTAGTCTACTCTCCCAGGTTAACCACTGATTTCTAGTTGTGTCCTCTTTTGGAAGGCCAATCAACGTAGTTTCGGTTTCACAACTAAACCGCATCAAACACAGCGGCCTTGAGTGAGCGGCGGCGGCCTAGAGTGAGCAGAGGCGGGCAGGCTTGAGAACGGCGTGGCCGGCGGATTCGACAAAGGAGCGTCCGGCGGGCTTGCGGCAACCACATGTGACGACCCCGGGCTGGACTCCGCTTCGTCCACGGTGAAAGCCGTTCCAGCGATCCACAGCGCAAAGTTGATGTATTTCCTCAGCGACCAGCACGGATCAGCTCTAGGCATGACGAAGCGGATATCGTCCTCTTTTGGAAGACCAAACAAAGTAGTTTTGCTTTCACAATGAAACACAGCACCTTCACGATGCGGCGGCGGTGTCGGCGGCAACAACAATACTACAGCGAGAATAAAAGTTCTTCTTTGCATGAATATTTGGGTGGCGTTATGCAAATCTTCCCACATCGTGATGTAGATATGTGGGGGCATGTTAGAACGAGGAGTTTTAGGTAGGTGTGGTTGACTCTTAACTTTTATAAAGAATATCTCTTTGGATTTGAGACTTTAGTCTTTGCAACTTTACAGATCTTCTTTATGCACCAAGAGCTTGTAACACTCCAAAGAGAAAGGAAAATTTTAAATCGCATCATATGACCCCTTTAAAGGGTTAGTTCACCCAAAAATGAAAATTCTGTCATCAATTACTCACCCTCATATCATTTTAAACCGGTAAGACCTTCATTCCTCTTTAGAACACAATTGAAGATATTTTTGCTGAAATTTGAGAGCTTTCTGTCCCTCCATTAGCAGCAACGCAACTTCCACATTCAAGGTCCAGAAAGATAGGAAAGACATTGGTAAAGTAATCCATGTGACTCCTGTGGTTTAACCTCAATTTTATGAAGTGACGCAAATGCTTTATTTACAATATAATATTATCCAAAGTTTGTTCACGCTACAATGTCAACTCTCGCGTGAACATAACACACATGCGTCGTGGTGCTCTTGTGAGCATGTTGCAGATCAGTATTTTCAGCGATAAAGTATGTTTTTGCTCAAATAAAACACTTGCCTTGCTCCATAAAACTGGAGTCACATGGAGTACTTTAATGATGTCTTTCCTACCATTCTGGACCTGAATGTGGAAGTTGCATTGCTGCCTACGGAGGTACAGAAAACCCTCGGATTTCCGTAAAAATATTTTCATTTGTGTTCGGAAGATGAGCACTGAAGATATATCTTAATGTAATTAATGACAGAATTTTCATTTTTGGGTGAACTAACCCTATAACAGGCCAAACCACACTGACCAGTGGTTGAGGATTCATGTATAAATGGTGTGCAATAAACATACCACGGTTTGTCTTCCTACTGGTGCTGCTGATATGACGTCGTTGAGTAACCGGTGATCTTGGCATCACTTGTGCTTATATTATCACCCCTGGCAAGTCATATAAGGAGACAAGAAAGAAGGTGTGAATTAATGGTACTTATTTTAATGAAGAATGCTGGACTGAATAAGCTCACTCTTACATAAGAGCACTGCTTCTATCTGTGGGTGTTATTATGAAAAGGACAAGGATATCTTCTGTGGCCACTTTATAGCTCCCCCTTTTTTTTTTTTTTTTTTTTTTTTTTTCTCTCTCGATTCAAATATTTTTATTTGCTTCAAGTTAATGGATAGACTCAGGTTTTCCATATTCATGGATAATCTGGAAAAAGCAAGATATGTTTGTGAAATTTTGCGAGTCCGTACAAAAGTTTGTGCTCAAAAGTTGCTCTAAAAATGTGTGAATGGTGTGAAATAAGCCTTTTAAAGGAGTAGTTCACCCAAAAAATAAAATTTGCTGAACATGTATTCACCCTCAGGCCATCCAAGATGTAGATGAGTTTGTTTCTTCATCAGAACAGATTTGGAGAAATGTTGCATTATACATCACTTGCTCACCACTGGATCCTCTGCAGTGAATGGGTGCCGTCAGAATGAGAGTCCAAACAGCTGATAAAAACATCACAGTAATCCACATGACTCCAGTCCAACAGTTAATGTTTTATGGAGCAAAAAGCTGTGTGTTTGTAACAGTTACTAGTCCTCTATCCATAATATTCCTTTCAAGAACGGATGGACTTTTTCACTGGAGGAAACAACATTATGGATTATGAACGGTCCAGGATGGTTTACAGCATTGATGCTCTATTTGTTTCTTAAACACACGCAGCTTTTTGCTTCACAAGACATGAACTGAAGGACTGGAGTGGTGTGGATTATTGTGATGTTTTTATCAGCTGTTTGGACTCTCATTCTGACGGCACCCATTCACTGCAGAGGGTCCATGGGTTGGCAAGTGAGGTAATGATAGATTTCTCCAAATCTGTTCCCATGAAGAAACAAATCCTCTACATCTTGGATGACCTGAGGTTGAGAAATGTTTCATTTTTGAGTGAACTATTCCTTTTATTTGTGGCACTTTCTTCTAAAATGTTTCCCCCCTAGTTACACTTGGTTTTTCTTTTTGCTACAGGCCTCTTTCCAGCGGTCCAACAGCCATGACAAGGTGAGGAAGATCGTGGCAGAGGAAGGCCGGGCTGCTCGAAACCTCATCGCATGGAGCGTCCCAGTGGAGAGCAAGGAGGAAGAGGGTTAGATCCATTCAAACACACTCATGCATGCATATAATAACAAATGCTGACACTGCATTGCGTTTTATGGTAAATAGGGTGTAGATCTTGGAGTAGCCACAACAAGTTAGGGAAAAAACATCAAATAAATGTTGGGATGCCTGTGATATCCAAGATTTTTTTATTAGAATAATATTAGCAGATTTTTATCAACACTTCTATTCAAAAGTTTGGGGTCAGTAAGTTGATGTTTTTTTTAATGTAATTTTGAAAGAAGTCTCTTATGCTCACCAAGGCTGTGTTTATTGACAAAAATACAGTAAAAACAGTAATTTTGTGAAAAACTTTTATATTTTAAAATGATTGTTTTTCTATTTGAATATATAATTTTTAAATGTAATTTATTCCTGTTATCAAAGCTGAATTTTCAGCATTATTACTCCAGTCTTCAGTGTCACATGATCCTTCAGAAATCATTCTAACATACTGATTTGCTGCTCAAGAAACATTTATGATTATTATCAGTGTTGAAAACAGCTGTTTAATATTTGTGTGGAAATTCTATGATGAATAAAAAGCCAAAATATTTCAAAGCATTGTATATAGATGCAAGTCCAAAGCATTTATTTGAAATCAACATAGTGTCTTTCCGGTCATTTTTGATCAATGCATCTTTGAATAAACGTGTTTAAAAATAAATAAAATTAATAAATGTGATGCATTGCTCTTTCTTGCAGTCACAGACAGTCTCACATCCCACAGGGCTCATCGACCATCAGGCTACCACTTAAAATGCATCCAGCTTTGTATAGAGCGTTCATTTGCAAAGCAAATGTGGGCGATGAACAAGTGCTCCAAATCTGTCATCCCCTCTCTTTTACCTGGAGTTACAGTACACTCTTTGGCATAGAGAGTGTGTGTGTGTGTGTGTGTGTGTGTGTGTAAGCTGACCCAGATCCTCTGTTTCACTGTCAGCGCTGACAGGTCACCACAGGAGTCTTTTGTTAGTTGGGGACTGCAGTATGTGTTATGTCCGAGCAAACACAATTCACCAGTGCCTGCATTCATCCTGCGCTGTGACCGTTTCTGGATCAGGGGTTGTAAGCCTAAGAGTACACTTCATAGTTAGAAGTGCTGATTGAAAATCAGTTTTGTCCCCTTATATCCTGATAAAGAGGATTATATTGACTAGAAGAGGCTGATCCTGAATGACTACAGAAAGCTGATCCTGTTCTTATAGTGAAAACACAATACAGGCCCTGATCCCAGACCAGTTCTAATATTCAAAGATACTTTATGAAATCAAGCACTGGCTAAAGATGACTTTTAACTTGAGGTAATAAAACGAAAGAGTGTCTAGGTTGTATTTCAACCCTGAAAGTAAATAAGGAAAAGGTTCCACCTTATATTCAGTGGCCTTAACTACTACAATGTACTTATTGTGTTCATATTGTATTGCAAAACACTTTTGCTGCTATTGAGGTGGGATACGGGGAAGGTTAGGGACAGGTTTGGTGGTATGGGTAGGTTTAAGGGTGGGTTAAGGTGTAAGGGATTGGTCAATGGTGTAATTATAAATGTAATTACAAATTAATTACATGTGTAAAAAAAAAAAAAATCATGTACAACAAATAATACTCTGATGTTAATTACTTTATCATATAGTGAATATGAAATGTATGTCATTAAAAAAAAAATATATATATATATATATATATATATATATATATCATAATAATAATTATTTGTT